GCTCAGATAGGTCTGCTGATGTGCCCGACCTTGGGTGTGTGGCCAGCGGGGTCTGCAGTTATGACAGGAGCTGCCAGGCTGCTGGTTGTCCCGCTGGAGTTTGGATGTTGTGTGGAGAGAGGACAGAGGGTTATGTCAGAACCCAGTCTGTGCACCTCTGGCTCAAGGCTTTTGACACCCTGCCCATTTCAGACATAGCAGCGGCTTCTTTTGAGCCTTCTTTTGAACTCTTGAAAGTGCTGCAGAGTTGCAACCAGATGGCAGAGCAAACTGGGGGCTGATGGAGTGTCACATGTTCAAATGTATATACTGCTGGAGGTCCTGCAGTACAGAGTCCCTGGGTATTGTTTTTTAATCAATCTCCCTGCCACAAACGTGGTGTTCAGCCCTGCTTCTCTTGGCAGATAGACATGTTGGGACACAGCCGCCTGAGAGGCTTGGACGCATTAGGGGTTGGCTGCTGTCAGGACTTTGGACTTAAGCCAGATGCAAAGCAGGTTTCTTTGTAGCCTGCAGCAGCCAAGTTCATTGCAGGAACATCCGGGTGCAGACAGAGCTGTGCAATATCCTGCGTAGACAGCGTCCCGCAATATTTCTGCACTCAGGTATATCTGCCTTGGTCCCCTAACTCTCTTCCCTTCCTTCCCTAGCACACAAGTGTGGAGAGTGAAGCAAGCCTCCATTCTTCTGCTAGCACTTTCTCCACCTCCTCCAGCACAGTGTCAGCCGCCCCACCAGTTGTAAGCGTTTCATCCAGTCTCAGCAGTGTCAGCAGCCTGGGCCTCAGCCTCAGTAGTAACTCCACAGTGACTGCCTCGACTCGCAGCTCTGTTGCAACAACATCAGGTACTTTCCTGGGTACTGCTAAACAGGAGAAGGGTGCGGGGGCTAGGAGAGACAGCTTCTGCTGTTTGCTTCACTGTGGAACTTTTCCTTTCTCTTCCTTTTGCAGGAAAAGCCCCTCCCAATCTCCCTCCTGGAGTCCCACCATTGTTGCCTAATCCGTACATCATGGCTCCAGGGTTGCTACATGCCTATCCGGTGAGTGGGACGACCGACTCTTTGCAGTCATGCTATTAGATCCCTCCTAGCTTTGTGCCCCGCTAGCAGGGAGTGATGTAGTATAGTAGAGAAACGAGAAACTGTAACATCAGCCCAGCAGGACTACCTTGGATGGGAAGAGTTTAGACCTGCTGTTCTCTGTAAAACAGTAGCAGAGGGAATCTGTGTGCCCGTGGGGGTAAATGTCTGTAATTCTGGTCACTGCAGAGCAGATTCTGTCTGCCTCTACTCTACAGCCTCCCCAACCTTTGGGGAGTAACAGCCCTTGGTCAGAGCATGGCTCATGAAAGTGTGGAGCTGTTTTAGCAGCATGGTATTGCAAAGGCCAAACAGTCAGAACAAGGAGGGCGACTGCCATGAAGTCTAGGGGTGTGTCACAGCCCTCTTCTGAAGGTGAGGACAGCTTTTGGTGTTGGAATAATTTCTAGAGGAAAATTGTTGAGTGCCTTTGTGGTCTGGAGCAGTGGTGCCAGGCATTGGTGCTCACTCTTCACTTGAGCAGCTCATAAAAAGACTCTTGGCAGTGTCAGTCTTGCGGTAGTGAATGCTGGCTGCCTGCACCTAGGTAATTGTGTAGCCTCTGATCATCTGCTTCTGGCTTTATCTAATGTTTATCTAAATGTTTAATCTAAAATTAGGGAAGTGTCTTTATCTAGTCTGTGTTCCTAACCTAATCTCCTGCTCTTTTTCTAGCCACAGGTGTATGGATATGATGACTTGCAAATGCTCCAGACGAGATTCCCGTTGGTGAGTACTGAAGACTGACAGGGACAAACCACTTCCACTGGTCTAACAGCTCGCTGGTGCTGCATGCACTGTGTACACAGATAGGCCAGGCTGTGAGGTAGTCGTGAAGAGCTGTCAAAACAGGGTGTTAAACAGATGCACCTCTCCCTGGCAGTAGTGAGGATTTAATCAGTCACTCCTTTGCACTTGGAGAGTTAGGAGCACTCGTTATTCAGACAGCGGTATCAATGCTGGGGCTAGGGAATAGAAAACTACAGCAGGCAGAGCTGTTTTGCCCGACAGCGGTATGAGGAGCTGTTGTAAATACTTGCCTCTGATCCTTGAAAGAGGCAGGAACTAAATACTTCTATGAGAATGGGTTTTATTTAGCAATATGACATGTGTCCCTTGTGTTGTGGAGGGGTAAGTCCAGGCAGTTTCAGGACTGCATACCAGTAGACCTTATCTGGTTCTCCTAATAGCCAGACAAGGGGGATGGTGCATGCTACAAAAACCTGGGGTTGCTGTAGGCTGTGATCAGCTGTGATGTGGCTGATTGAACTGCAATACTCCAACATAATTAGTGGCTGCAGTCCAGAAATCCGTCTTTTCCAAAAGATACTGCTTTGCGTCTTTGGACAGAGCTCATAAAACAACTTCTCCTTTTGTTTTTATCCTTCAGGATTACTACAGCATCCCATTCCCTACACCCACCACCCCGCTGACTGGAAGAGATGGCAGCCTGAGCAGCAATCCATACTCTGGTAGGGAAAAAGACTGCTCTGATCACCTATCCCATCAGGTGTTCATGCTGCTGCTTGCTAGGTCCCTGTGCTGTTGTCCGCTGGAGCTACATCTGCCCCTGCCTCCTGCACTGCCTTTGGTCTGGAGCATGTTTCTCAGCAGCTAAATTCTTGACTTCCCTTTGATCATCTGGTCGTGTTGAGGCATGTTAGCAGGAAGATGCGGACAAGTAGGAGTCGATGCGCAGTTGGAAAGGGAGCAAGGAGGGGCTGAAAGAATCTGAGAGGTGTAAAACTGGGGAACTGCTTTTCAGGTTGTGGTGACGCAGGGGTTAAGCAGTGCTTCTTAGAGTAAAAATACAAAGAAACACAAAATCTGGAGAAATTAAGTTTATCTATGTGACAGTCTCATGGAGAAAGAAAACAGGGCATTTAGGACCTGTCAAATTCAAACCAAATGCCCAGTGCCTGGCTGATCTCTTGCTGACCTTGGTGGTGCGTTTATTCACACTGCTGACTTGCAGTGGGCAGCGCTTGTGCTGAGCTTTCACGTGCTTTAGGACTTGTTGCACTTTGTGGGTCACTCTTTTTCCAGCACCACTTCTCCCCTTCTTCAGCCGGAGCTTGCTTGTGCGGAAGTGCTTTTGCCCGGCACACTGTGGCTGAAATCTGAGGCTCAGAGTGCGGCACTGTTGCATGCGTAATTTGCCAAGTTAATGTCAGTGATAATTAATGTTTGTGGCTATCCTGGACTCACTTGTGAGCTGGGGCAGCACTGAGAAATTCACTGGCTTACTGTGTGAGCTCTGAATAGGGAGAGTGTTTGCATGGGAGAGCCAAGCAGGTGCTTGTGAAGAGCAGCAAAGGGAGCTCCCCCAAGCCCTGCAGCCAAGCCCTCACGCAGTGCCCAGTCTGGGAAGAGGGGCGATATTTCCGAGTGCTCTCTGCGGGCTGCTGGGCCTTTGCAGCAGCATTTGATTTGGTGCCACCAGCAAGGGAGGGAGGCGTGAGCCCTGCTGTAAAAAGGGGCCATTCACACATCCTCAGCTGCAAGGTATTTGACTTGCCGGTAGGACAGGGCTGCCAGGCTGCTGCCCTGCTTCGGGCCTGGCTCTGGAAGGAGTTGAGTTGTGTTCGGGCCTGCTGCTGATGCACGGAGAGGGCTTAGGGAGAGCTCTAGCATCTGGGCTCTGTTGCTGCGCAGGCAGCCAGTGGCAGGTTTATCCAGGGCCAGATCGTAGGCTGACAGCAGGCGGTGCAGCACTATACCTTAGCTGCTGTAGGTTTCCCTTCCCCTCTGAGCACAAGTCTTATGAGGAGCAGCTGAGGGAGCTGGGGTTGTTCAGTCTGGAGAAGAGGAGGCTGAGGGGAGACCTTATCGCTCTCTACAACTGCCTGAAAGGAGGGTGTAGTGAGGTGGGGGTTGGTCTCTTCTCCCAAGTAGTTAGTGACAGGACGAGAGGAAATGGGCTCAAGCTGCGCCAGGGGAGGTTTAGATTGGATATTAGGAAAAATTTCTTCACGGAAAGAGGGGCCAGTGGTCAAGCATTGTGCCCAGAGAGGTGGTGGAGTCACAGTCCCTGGAAGTGTTCAAAAAACGGGTAGATGTGGCACTCTGGGACATGGTTTAGTAGGATGATCTTAGAGATCCTTTCCAACCTTAATGATTCCTAGTTTTTAGTTTCATTAAAAAATAATCTAGCCACCAAGCCAGGAAACTTGAAATTAATCACTACTCTACCCTTAATTGGTTTAGTGGTGAACTTGGCAGCATTGGGTTAATGGTTGGATTGGATGATCTTAAAGGTCTTTTCCAACCTAAATGATTCGATGATTCTATCTCCAGGTGACTTAACAAAATTTGGCCGAGGTGATGCCTCTTCCCCTGCTCCTGCAACGACTTTGGCCCAGCCTCAGCAGAGCCAGACCCAGACTCACCACACCACGCAGCAGACGTTCCTGAACCCAGCGCTGCCTCCTGGCTACAGTTACACCAGTCTGCCGTACTACACAGGGGTACCAGGGCTCCCCAGCACCTTCCAATACGGGCCCGCCGTGTTCCCTGTGAGTTTCCCAGAGGCAGGGCTTGAAATTCAGGCAGGAGGGCAACACAGCAAAGCCTTTCCTCATTCTGCTTCTCTCCTTTCTGTAGGTTGCTCCTACCTCTTCCAAGCAGCATGGTGTGAATGTCAGCGTCAATGCATCAGCAACCCCTTTTCAGCAGCCCAGCGGCTATGGCTCTCATGGATACAGCACTGGTAAGAGACCCGACAGCATCTTTCTCGGCAGCAGTTACCAGTAGTAGTAGGGCTTGTTCACAATGTTGCTGGCCGTGTAAGGGGACTGCTGCCTTACCGCCTCCGGCAGTAAGGGAGGAAAACAGCCATGGTGCAACTCGCAGGTCGTTTTATTCTCCTTGGAAAGGCCAGGGTTTGTTCCACATCCAGGTTTGGAGCGGGTTTGAGGAGTACAGAGCACTTCATGCCCTCCTCTGTGCCCAGCTGGAATGGATGGGGCCTTGGACTTGTGTCAGAGAGCTTAAGCTGCTGAATTGTTTGGGTTTGGTTTTTTTTTCACTGCCTGTGTGTGATCCATAGAACAATAATTATTCCAGATTTGAGCCTGGGAACTTGTTTGACTCCTGTGTTTGGCAGATGCATGGTTTCTAGAGAAGTGTCCTCCTTGATTCAAAGATGCAAGGTTGTGAACCTGTCACTTGTCTCTGTACTGGGTTTCACTGGTTAACCTCTGGCTGACTATAAAGGGCGTGCGTTTGGGTCCACCTTCCAGCCTTTACATTCCTGTTGTGCCTTTTTGCACTGCATTAGAGCCCTTTGAGATGCAAGTTTCTCTTTGTGAAGATACTTCAGCTCTGTACCAGGTCACCTGGTGCTGAGTCTTTCAAACCTCTTTAATTTCCATGCTTTTTCTGGGCCTTAAATGATTGCTGAGGCTCTCCTCCGTACCACCACCTTTTAGAAACAGCCAGCATCAAATACGGGTTGTGTGCTGGTGTTGTCAGTCATCACACCAACCATCCCAGCCCGCAGTTGAGTCGCCTTTACATGCAATTGCCTGTTTTACAGCCAAGGAGCTCTCGGGCTGTTCTTGCTACCATGTCGTGCTGGGAGTTTGTTAATCCTTGTCTGTCTGCTGCACACCCCAGCTCTTCTCAGAGTTGCTATATTCTGGGCTCTTCGAGAATGTGCATTTCTCTGGGTGGCACCAGGCCCCTAAATTTGTTTCTGGAGGCATTCAGAAATTGCTCATATCCAGAGCAAAAGAATTTACACTTGTGCGGGCACTTTGTAGCTTGACCTTGCCAAGACCCTGCTGTCTGTCTCCAGATCTTACCTGGCTGCTGGGCTAGAGCTCTCCACCACCCGATGCTGGCGT